AAGAGGGCGCTGTGGCGCCACCGAAGGCAACGCAGAAGTTGGAGGAGCACGAGCAGTCGACAGCTGGGGCATCGCAGGAGGTTGCTGGGCAACAGACGAGCCGCGAGACCAAGCGCAAGGGAGCCGCCCAGCGCCTCAAGCAGGAGCCCCAGCAACGCATCGAGAAGGTTAGGTCGACAGCCACAGCGAGCCCTGCGGCCCGTTTGGCCCCTGCGAGCAGCCAGAAGAACAACGACGAGGGCGACGCGATGGGGGTGGCTGTCAAGGATCAGTCTACTCCTCAGCATCGTCTTCGCCAATATTACGACATGGGGGCCCTCGGCCCGCAAGTTCCCCAACGAGCCAGGCAACAACATGGACGTTTTCATGATGTGCGGGGCGCATCTGGCGGCAGCGAAGATCAAGGATGTGACAAGAGTGGTGGCGAATGATGGGTGGAAGCTCATGGCGACGGCGGCTAAGAGTACGGGCCGCTCCACCACGGGCACCTCAGGTGGTGAGTGCATCGCCATCAGGTCGCATGTGGCGGCGACAAGGTACGATGACCTGAGGATGAGGATGGTCAAGGGGGGCTACTGTGACCCGTTCGTGGGGTTCTCGGCGGCTACGATCCACTTGAAGGGCGGCAACGTGGTGCTCGTGTCGGGCTACCTCCTCCCGAAGTATGGCTTCGGCGGCGCCAGCCAGGCGCGCGTCGCGGCAATGTCGGCGTTTGCGAAGTCGCTTACGGACCCGTGGGTGATCACGGCGGACTGGAACATCCCCTACGTGAAGATGAGGACTCCCAGTGGCTGGGGCAGATAGGGGGCACCCTCATCAAGGCGGACGCCCTGGTCACATGCGACAAGGGCAAGGGCAGCTTGATTGACTACGGCATCGTAAGGAGTGACATGCATCACAGATTGTCCTTGACTGTGCTACTCAGCGTGCCGTGGAGAACACCCTGTGGGCTGCGACTGCACCTGCATGGGGCAGGTCAGTCATGGCTTCATCGAGCAGCGGCACTCCCGAGGCCACTGCCAGGGCTGGGGAGGCCCAAGGAGCAGCCCGACCCGAGTAGCAAGCGGTCCTTGAAGCGCCAGCAGGAGAAGCAGAAGCGCCTCGACCGCCTGGACACGGAGTACCAGGATGCATTCGGCGAGATTCTAGAGGACGACCACGAGGACACGGAGGACGCACCTTACTTCATACCGCTTGACCTGTGGCAGAATACGGTGAAGTTTACGGACACCCACTTTGAGGTGACTGAAGAAATGAAGATGATGGGCGATTACCTCACGCATGGCAGCAAGGAGACCTGGGACGCTGAGCATCGCATCACGAAGGCGCATGGCCAGTGGGTCACTTGTGTGGGGAAGGCAACCCTGAGATCGAGCCGCATCGAGGAGACACAACATGACGCCTACATGGGGCGATCAGCTGGACTAGGAGTCAGACGGGCGCGTGCGAGGCCTACACCAGGACGCACACACCTGAAGTATGCGGCGGCAGAGCACTGGAGCATCTGCATGGCGTTGCTGACGAGGAAACTGGCTCTACGCAGACACGACTCGGATCCTAGGCAGCAGAGGCAGTGCGTGAAGCAGTTCAAGGAAAGGATCCTGGTGCTGAAGCAGCTCAACCAGGAGGAAGTCTTCGGCACGAACATCACGGACGATGAAAGGTTGGCAGTATATGAGACGGCCACTACCGCCAAGACGATGAGTGTGCAGGAGCTAGAGGAGTACACCCACAATGTGGAGCGCCATGCGACCATTGCCCATGCGCGTGGCAATACCGTTCAAAGGCAGGGGTTTGTCAAGTGGGCGAAGCAGACCTGGATCAAGGCGCCAGGCGCGCTGAATCGCCACGTGAAGGAGAAGGCGGCGCCTGCAGTGAACGTGACCATCGGCATCGAGAGGCAGATCGCGGACCCTGACACGGTGATTGCGCACAAGTCGGAGTACTGGGCGGGCATCTGGACCGACCCCGTCGACACCAGGCAGCAACTAAAGGAACTCCTCCACCAGCTCTCGAAGGAGGCGTTGGAGGAGGAACTGCCTGACCTCACGTTGGAGAGCATTGACAAAGTGGTCAACAGGATGAGTGACGCGAAGGCCTTGGGTTTTGACCCCCCTGGGACCTGGCGCCATCCGGCGCGTGCCCGAGCCCGCTCGAGAGCAACTGCGCGGCCTCATCCAGTATGCGGAGGAGAATTGCGCGTGGCCGAGGCAGCGTTCAGCGACGAGATGCGCGTTAGCGGCGAAGCCCACGGGGGGCGACAGAGCATTGGGAACGGTTACGGTGGCACCGAAGATTTGGGGCAAGGTGAGAGCTACGTTGAGTGAGTCCTGGTCCCAGGAGCTGACTGACCACCAGGACACGGCGCTGAGAGGGTCATCAGCGCTACGAGCTGGCTTAGTCAGAGCGTGCATGGACGAAGCTGGCACATCATTGGGCCTCAGTTCACTCACATTGTTATTAGACATCGAGAAGTTCTATGGCTCGGTGTCTCTGGCCC